ACGGGTAATTAACAAACGACCAGAGACGTAACAATACTATATAATAGGCATTAACTCTAACACTTTACTATAACACTTAGTCTAGCGAAGACTGATTTTACCAATCACCGATCAATGCGTATCATTAATCAAGCATTTTCTTTCTACAGTTATCACACATTTCAAATATCAAAAATGTCCTAGACGGAGCTTACGATTGAAGACTCTGTGTACACTTCCTTTACTTCACTCTTGTTGTTACAGGAGAATATAATAATGATAAAGAACACGATGGCAGCTGCCCCAATACCGACTGCATAAGGCCACCATTGAACAGGCTCGTCTTCTGTCCTTGGAACTCTTCTAAAGTGAGCGGCAACTATATTAGATATCTTACCCTTGTTATTGCTATCGTCAAGAGCCCTCAAAGACAAGTAAACATCTGTATAATTACTTTCCATCGAACAGTTATTTGCGTCTACGTTATGAATGGTGTCAGGAATTTTCACTGTTAATTCTTGTTCTTCACCCGGAGGGAGGGGAGTGAGGCTACCTTTTATTAAGAGGCTCTCATTAAAACTGTCTAGTTCATGAAAGTAACTAATCAAATTTTTCATTATGCCACTTGCTCGCAGGTCGATGGATGAAGCTGAAACAACATAAAAACGTCAAGTTTTACGTCATAAATATACGAAAAAACAAACAAACAAACTACAGTTTGGACATTTCTTTCAATAACCAATCTTACTGGAGGTCAATAATAATTTGGAAATATCATAAAGATCGTTAAATTAAATTTTAAAGACCATTAATACACGAGAATATAGATTACAAAATTTATAAAGATTTACCTTCAACTGCCCTTATGCCCCAAAGGTGTCCATTTTTTTCTCTGTAATAAAAATTGTCAACAACTACCAAAAAATACACCTGATTCTATACTTTGTTTGGTGAAAGTTATTAGGGAGAAAAAAATTCAGCTTTAAAATGAGTGACATACAGGGACTTGTTGGTCTTTACAGTAAAAAAATAATATTTTTTAAAATGAGTGACACACAGGGACTTGCTGGTCTTTACAGTACAAAAATACTATTTTTAAAATGAGTGACACACAGGGACTTGCTGGTCTTTACATTAGTAAAAATAATATGTTTTTAAAATGAGTGACATACAGGGACTTGTTGGTCTTTACAGTACAAAAATACAATTTTTGTAAATGAGTGACATACGGGGACTTGCTGGTCTTTACAGTAAAAAATAATATGTTTTTAAAATGAGTGACATACAGGGACTTGTTGGTCTTTACAGTACAAAAATACAATTTTTTGAAATGAGTGACATACGGGGACTTGCTGGTCTTTACATTATAAAATAAATAATTGTGACATGCTATTAAGTGTTAATACGCAGTAAGTTATTGTTACTTTTATGTTTGCTTTTTATGAATATTTACCCACTTTTTACCAGAGGCAACCCACAGTTCCTATGGTCTCTTCTAACACCCCTCCCCCCCGAAAAAAATGTTTTACCATGCTTGAAAAGTGTCTTCTGCATATTATCGATGTCTAGACAATATACCAGATGTCGCTACCACATCTTCGCTTGTTTTAGGATTTTTGCAGAAAGCTACATAAGGGCTATCTGTACTAGCCCTTTCCTAGTAACAAACTAGAGGGAATGCAGTACTTACTGTCATCTCTTGGGCTGTTTTTGTGGAATTAGACCGCCACTCCTATAGCTCACCCATGGTACCAAAAAGTGGAGTGAATTTTTGTGGCAACTGGACACGAACCATGAACACTTGAATTCAAAGTCTGGGTTTCATAACCACTAAGCGACACCCAGCCCATTCCACTACTCTATATTGTGTTAAAAATAACAATTTGCGTTTTGTTTCTTCTGATAAATATTTAATCTAAATTACCGGATCTTCCTCCATTCACCTTCAGGATACCAATAACAGCATTAAACCATTTTTGTTTTGTTTGTTTGTAATTAAGCGCAAAACTACATAATGGGCTATCTGTGCTTTGCCCACCACGGGATGGAAATTCGTTTTTAGCGTTAAAAGCCTTCCGACTTACCGCTATGCCACTGGGAGGCAGGAAGAAGCTTTGTATAAACTAATCTTGACATGATATTGTAGTAAAAAAATCATATCTTACCATTGCCAATATCCAAGTCATCGCCGGGAGACGTCCATCTTAGGGTCACCAGGTTGATGTTGTTCTCTTGTTCTAAGGAGATTATTTTCAAGTCTGTAACTCGAGCAGGTGGCATCACGTCAACTTCGGGAAAGAAACTGTCAAGTCGTAAAGCGCCAGCATTCGAAGTCCTTTCGAACATCTCGGCAGGTTCGCCACCAGAGGTCATAGACCGTAATGGTTTCTCAGTTGGTTTACCACCAGGGGTGATAGACTGTGATGATTTCTTGTACACGATAAAATCGTCTTTTGGAAAAGTTGCTGAGGCATCTATTTTTCCACGACCTGGCGGCAAGATAATGTAAAATATTCCTCAAGATATTTAAAAACATTTGAAATAGTCTAGTCTTAACGATCTTCTTACGTTACTTGATTAATCTAATTGGTAATAGCTCGTAAGTGAAGCACTATAAGCAAGCATTTCACCGAGCTAGCGACAATTTATAAGTAATTACACAACATACAAATTTGTGGCAGGAATTTAAGTTTATTATCGTTCGAGCCTCATAAGGATGTTTATGGCATGAAAGACAACCCGGAATGTTCACAAACTTATCTTTCTCTTCACCCATATGTCATAAATAATCGGATTCCAGCAATGGAGGTTAAAGAAGCTAAACAGCCAATCACAGAGAACCATTTAAATAACGTTAGAATAATGTACTCCTGGTTTTGTTTTCTGTGGTGGTCATAGTGGTTAAAGTGTTTGGCCTGTGAATCCGAGGATTCGTAGTTCGCATCCTGTTAATGTAAAAACACTCCACACTTTGGGACCATAGGTGCGCTATAAGTGACTGTCAAATCTCACTTTTTGATCAAACAAGAGTAGCCAAAGAGGTGGCGGTGGGTGCTATTTGCTAGCTACTTTCCATTTAGTCTATTTATTTGTTTGTAGTTTAGCACAAAGCAAAATAATGGGTTATCTGTGCTGTGCCTACCACGGGGCTCGAAACCCGATTTTTTTTGCGTTATAAGCCTTCAGACTTACCGCTGAGCCACTAGGAGGCTCCAAGTAGATGGCGTGCTGTGTTAATAAAAAGGATGATACTTGCGATATATATTTTTGTTGCACTGGACATCGCAATGTATGTTTATCTATTTCAGATAATTGAATCACTATTTTAAATTTTATTAACAGAGTGACTTATACTGAAATTAAAATAATGAGGATTTTGTTTTACCTTTTGGGTTTTTTGAATTCGTGATGGGAATTAGGGAAGATGACTTGCTTCCTTGAGTTACTTTTGCACTTCCTTCATTGATGGCGTGTGTTTCGATTGCGTATCGTCCGTTACTGTTGAACTGTGTTAAAAAACCCGAATATATTCCATCATTGCTAGTAACGTCGGGACCTGAAAACATAGAATATTCAGAAGATATTGAAGTTTGATTCACAAACGTGCATGTATAATGTGTTTTTTACAGCTATTTTTACAAAGAACTTTTAAAAAATGCTACCGGTAGTGAAACGCTGAAGCCAAAAGTTGCATTATAAAGACTTAAGATTATATATATATATATATGGCCTAGTTAATAGTAAGGTTTTAAGAAAACACAGATGCTTTTTTAAGAGTTTAAAATAATTATACTTTACATGGATTTAGAAATCTGATTTCTTGTATAGCCTAGTCATAAAATTTTAACTTTTTGTTCTAATTAACGTCTTTATTTCATATCCAAACAATCTCCTCTTTGTAACAAAACTTTACTCAATGAGTGTGCGTCGCATTGGTAGGTTTTTTTTTTTTTTATTAAGATGTATTCATTCGCAACCTTCGTTTTTTTTTAAAACAGACAGTAACTCTTAAGTTCGCCGATAGAGACATTTGATGTTCTTAATGGGCGTCTTTTTCACATTTATCAGTTTCATACTAGTGTCTTAACAATGTTCCGGTTACGAGATAAAGGTTAGCCCTATTGGAAAAAAAAAGTCTAGTGTTAAAAAAATATAATAAACATTTTGTTTGTTTGTAGTTGAGCTACACAAAATGCTATGTGTGCTCTGTCCACCACGGGTATCAAAACTCGGTTTCTAGCGTTGTAAGTCCCCAGACATTCCGCTGTGCCGCTAGGTTTGTTTGTTTGTAATTAAGCACAAAGCTACACAATGGGCTATCTGTGCTCTGTCCACCACGGGTATCAAAACTCGGTTTCTAGCGTTGTAAGTCCCCAGACATTCCGCTGTGCCACTAGGTTTGTTTGTTTGTAATTAAGCACAAAGCTACACAATGGGCTATCTGTGCTCTGTCCACCACGGGTATCAAACCCGATTTCTAGCGTTGTAAGTTCGCAGACATTCCGCTGTGCCACTAGGTTTGTTTGTTTGTAATTAAGCACAAAGCTACACAATGGGCTATCTGAGCTCTGCCCACCACGGGTATCGAAACCCGGATTCTAGCGTTGTAAGTCCCCAGACATTCCGCTGTGCCGCTAGGTTTGTTTGTTTGTAATTAAGCACAAAGCTACACAATGGGCTATCTGTGCTCTGCCCACCACGGGTATCGAAACCCGGATTCTAGTGTTGTAAGTCCGCAGACATACCGCTGTGCCACTAGGGGGTAAACATTTTGTAAACTGCCCTGGCGTTTAAACGATGAATTAACATACGTTACAGCAAATTTCTAATCAGAATCAGAAAGTTCACTAACAAAACATTGCCATTAACGGAAATATTATAAAACATAAAAGCAAATATTAAAAGTAAAAATATTCTAAACTCTCTTACGGCAAAAGAATTAGTGCGGCATATTTTCACAAAGAATCAGGTAATATAGCACAATTAAATTTAAATAAGATCTGACATTTGACGACAGTGATAATCTATTGAACGTACCCACTCCGTTATCTCTAAGAAAGACATGAACTGGTGACCCTGTTGGGGGGTGAATCGTTGCTTTGACAGCAGCTCCAATAACCGCGCTGTACCCTCTTTTCACTTCAGCGTACACTTTAGCATAAGAAGGGTAAGTTAGTTGAATTTCACTTAACCAAGACCGTAAGCGTATTGGTTGTATTACAATATCTTTCGGTTCGGAGAACAAAGAGAAATAAACCACAGCAACAGACGATCCACCAATCCTTTTAATTTCTGCTATCCACTGTCCAGTCTGTAAAATAATAGTTACTTTATATTTATCAAATCAGACAGTCAGAAATTTTAATGAAGAAATGAAAGCCAAGCTTGGAGGAGAGAAAGAACGAAACGTACGACAAGCATGCCTAACAAAGTGACAAAGTACATGTTCTCCAATGTTGCGAGTCTTAGTTTCACTTATTATTAAGTATTTAAAAACGAAATCATGGAATTGGTTGAATTTAAATTAACGCAACTTTTCTGTCTTTTTTGTTGTTATCCTAATACCAAAAGTACCAACATTAATTTAACAGAACACTGATATTTGTTTAATATAACAAATAACTAAATATGGAGATTATGTACGATTCGGTAATGGTTCATTAGATAAGCGACTTAACTAAATTTCGAACGTTGATAACACCAGTTATTAACACATGAGATTTATGAAGGCGGGGTTACGTATCTCTAGATACCTTACCGATCATCTGATATGTGGTATTGTGGCTACTCCAACATGTTAAATAACACTAGTGATTAACACATGAGATTTATGAAGGCGGGGTTACGTCCCTCTAGATACCTTACCGATCATCTGATATGTGGTATTGTGGCTACTCCAACATGTTAAATAACACTAGTTATTAACACATGAGATTTATGAAGGCGGGGTTACGTCCCTCTAGATACCTTACCAATCATCTGATATGTGGTATTGTGGCTACTCCAACATGTTAAATCACTTACGTTGTTCAAATATATCATATTTTTGTTTTCCTGTATAGAACTGCCAGAAAGATGAACAACATTTTTGCCTGAGGTCAGAAGTCAGAAAAGAACTATTCGAAACATAGTTATAAAAATAAAGTTAACTATAGATATTTTTTTTAACACCCTTCTTTCTTTGTCCATTGTTGCTCAAAACCACGGGTGTGTAAAAATAGCATTTCAGATCCTTTTGTCTCCTACATACTACTGCCCAAGACGCCTTTTGTACAATACCAGAACTCATCGTTTTTGGAGTTTAAACCGTAACTATTCGAAACATAACCTCTTGTTGGAGTGCAGATTTACAAACTGGCATATCTGCGCTATGTTCAATCATAGATCATAAAGGAAGTATAACGTTTTTTTTACTGTTAAATATTGTTTTTATTTCGTTGTGGAGTAGTGCCGAGAATTATTATACCTATAGAATTCGAATACTGCTTTTATGATTTTCTTACCTAAATATATTTTTCAATAAACGAACTACGTTATTACCTCAGCATTAGGAATTTTTACTAGTATCCTCAGTTTGACTTGAGAGTCCTTGGTGAACTCGGAGCTGTTCGAGTTGTAGATCTGTCCATTTGGACTTCTTAGTATAACAATGACATCTCTGATTTGGTGACTCACGAAAGTGAAAACAGTATTTTTCCCCAGTTCTTTATCTAAAAATATTCTCTTTTCAGCTACATGACTAATCAGTTGAATAATGGTGTCAGCTATCTGGAAATAAACGTAATAAACTGAAATTTGTTAAAATTTTATCGTAAAATTAATGAAAACACAGCATTTTTATTACCTACTTTAAGTGAGTGTTTACATTTTGTTGTATAAATAAGTAATAAATGTTAAAAATGCTTCGAAACTCAATAATGTATCCTAGTTTGAATAAAAACACAATCTATTAATAGTTCAGAAAAAGCTGTCACCCCAGATTTACTGTTTCCGAAGAGACCAATAATAGTAGAAGTATCATTACTGTGTATGTCAATTCAAAAGTTCACGGAGATGTGTTTTCAAATTTATTTCTCAAGTTTAAATGCATTTATACAGGGATAAGTATTTTTTAGATATTGGTAACCTTATTATCTTTACTATACAAAAAGGTCATATAGAACCCACCACTAGGTGGCTAACCATGGATATGAAAGAGCACTCACCAGGAAATGTATCAAGTACAGCTCATCAACAGTGGCTATATTATAATGCAATCTTTGTAACGAAACCAGATCTTAAAGTATGATACAAAAAAAAAAGGTCGTAGCTGCTTCTCTGATATAACTGTTCTCTTTTCGGTGCCTTTTTTCAAACTGTAAACTTGTTTCATTTTCAGCAACTGAGCTTGTTTGTTTTTAATTTTACGCAGAGCTACACGAGGGCTAGCTGCACTAGTCGTCCCTTATTTAGCAGTGATAGACTAGAGGTAAGTTAGCTAGTCAACACCGCTCACTCTTGGGCTACTCGCTCACCAACGAATATTGGGATTGAACGCCACATAATAACGCCTTCACGGCTGAGGGGCGAGCATGTTCGGTGACAGGGATTCGAACCCGCGACCTGCATATTGCGAGTCGAGCGCCATCAAGCTATGCTATGCTCAACACCTGGCTTACAATCACTTTTAGGATACGGTTAATTTAGTCAGAATTAAACCATATATTCTAAATTTTTTAAATTATAGCTTATAGCACGTTTACTTTTTTAAATAAAGTCTTAAGACTGTTAAGACTGTCTTCGTGAAAGCTAAGTGTTTCACCTATCTGTTGATAAGGAGCTACATGAATAATGTACATAAGTAAGAAACTAACTTAAACAGAGCTAGAATCTTCGTCTGCTTGAGATGTAATTGAATTCTTTATATAAGTAAGAAACTAATTTGAACAAAGCTAGAATCTTCGTCTGATTGAGATCTAATTGAATTCTGTATATAAGTAAAAAAACTAATTTGAAGAGAGCTAGAATCTTCGTCTGCTTGAGATGTAATTGAATTCTTTATATAAGTAAGAAACTAATTTGAAGAGAGCTAGAATCTTCGTCTGATTGAGATCAAATTGAATTCTGTATATAAGTAAAAAACTAATTTGAACAGAGCTAGAATCTTCGTCTGCTTGAGATCTAATTGAATTCTGTATATAAGTAAGAACTAATTTGAACGGAGCTAGAATCTTCGTCTGCTTGAGATCTAATTGAATTCTGTATATAAGTAAAAA